CCTGCATAAAGTAATTCCTTTATAGATGGACTCCCCCCTTCCCATGTATGTGTGTGATTTTAACTCCTTTCCACCCACACACTCACACTCTGGTCTCTGTGGAAGTGTTGCACTTCAGCCAACCTCATGCAGAGAAAACCATTTACTAACTCCATTACTTTGTAGAGGAAAACATCATCCAATGCAATTAAAACTAGAGGGTGGCAACAGTTTTTTCTCGCAGCTGGGTTCCAATTGTGATCAAACCATCCAGTGGTCCTGTGACTGACACTTGCAGAGGTGTTTAGTGTGTTTGTGTCTGGTTGAAAGTCACTTCAGTGGTAACACACACACATACGCAATACTATTTGTAAAGTTTCTGCTCCACACTTTCTCATTCAATGTTTCACTTTCTACACATCAGCTTATGTTCTTTTCCAACTTTGATGTGTGACACTTTTAGGTCTCAAACATGGCGATAGCAGGGGAAAAACTGCACTTTGTATCCTAGAGACAATAATGCCTCCTGCTGTATGTGTTCACTTCCTTGTAGCTAGATGAGATTTTCCCCACACTCTTGTTTGTACTGGTTTAGCCCACCTTAGCTTGGTCAGAGGGGAATAGCAACATATGTTTCATCCAGACATGATGCTGTAAATCAAGGTTCCCACACTTATCCTGTCAGACTGTCAGACTGACAGACTTTCCGTTGCCTCCAGGTTGCTTCTGTCACCCTTCGAGCATAGCGACACAGTTGGGAAATGTTTCCCTCAGTTTGACATTTATGCTCTCTCTCGTTTTTATAGCCTTGATTTTTCACCACCTGTTTAATTAGATCTCAGCTGAAAAGGCCTTTTGGTGTGGATGCCTGCCAAAGCAGAAGCCTCCTTCAGGAAGACCGTGTGTAGCGTATCTGTGATAACTGATGGAATTTCAGATCGACAAACCGACGTGATAATTGGATTTTCCGGCTCCACTTCTGTGCAGAATACCTTTTGTTTCTGCGCCGCAGGAGTATGTGGCTCCCACTTCAGCGGGAGAGCCCATAATCTTGGGGGGCAGGAAGTCTCTTGGCCACATCCTTGTTGCCAGGGTTGTTATTTAATCTTATGATCCAGGCTCCCTCGAACATATCAGTAGAGTAATCAGCTCTGGAGCACTTCAGGGAGGAAAAGCACTACATCCTTTTAACAGCAGGGAGTTCCAGACTAGAGTGGCGAGTCAGCAAGTCTTTCCGATACAACGCTAAATAGAAAACATGTTTGAGTTCTTCTCTTTGCACATTTAAATGTTAACAATAGTAGGCTAAAAGGCATTTCCCTTAAGCTAAATCAAAGAGGTGTATGTAAAGCATATATTATTGCAGATTAATTGTCCCTGATCTGTTTACAGTATACTGACACCACATACAGACAGATTTATGACAGAAAATGGCCTCTATCGATTCTCCGATAATGAGACTGATTGTGATGAGGGAGATAGGGACCTGAGCAGAGTGGGGGTAAAGTCACAATTCATTAACTATTCATGAATATGGAAAGACAACTTATGGTCAATTACAGAAGTGTCATTTATGTGAAGAAGTGAAGGAGAAATCCAAAACTATGAATGAGAAAGCAGAAGACGGACACTGTGGGTGTAAAGATGTTCATTTTCTCATCAGTATTCACTGACACCTCCGTGCTCAAATATGCACATGTGCAAAAAAGCAGTCATACACACAGCGACACACACTGAGCACAATCTGTCATATAGAGACAGACGTATTGATCAGACACAGATAAACAGGGGACGGGCAGGCAGTGATAGGCCATTTGCAGCTCTTGAAATTGGATAGTAATCAATTAATGGTCTTTTATTATGGGGATCATTTAATGGGGATGGATTGAAACGGCTTAACTTTAAATGCAGAGGAAAGACTCAAATCTCTAAAAGTTTCCTTCTCACTCAAAGTCATGTACTTTATTGTGCACTTTTAACCTTTGTTTCCTCTTAAAACTTCTACAGAGAACATTTTACATAAATAAGAGACCAAACTAAACACTGAACCACAGAATAGAGTTTCCATCAGGAGTTAAATGAGCAGGAACACCTTGTTAGTACCACATCTTTTTACTTTAGAGCTGACTTAATTCTTTGTGGCATAGATTTACTAAGTTTCTGGAAAACCTTCTCAGAGATTTAGGTCCACGTTGACATGGCAGTATCAAACAGTTGCCCAAGATTTGTCGGCTCTGTACATCCATGATGGGAATCTCTTGTTCCACCACATTCCAAAAATGTTCTATTGGGTTGGGAGCTGGTGACCTGAGAGGCTGTTTGAGTACTGTGAATCCAGTGTCATGTCCAAGAAACCAGTTTGACATGATTAGAGTTTTGTGACATTTCACGTGATCCTGCTAGAAGGAACCATCAGAAGATGAGTACAGTGTGGTCATAAAGGGATGGACTTGTCTGTGACATTTTTAATTAATTAGTAATAAGGGTCCCAACAATCTACCGCCAGCAACCCTAACTGTTGATACAGGCAGGATGAATCAGTGCTATCATGTTGCTTATGTCAAATTCTGACCCTACTATCTGAGTGTTACAGCACAAATTCAGACTCATTAGACTAGGTAACTTTTTTTTCTCCAATCTTTTATTGTCCAGTTTTGGCGAGCTTGTGCAAACTGCAGCATCGGGTTCCTGTTCTCAACTGACAGGAAAGGAATCGGTGTGGTCTTCTGCTGCTTTAGCCCATCTCCTTCAAGGTTCAACACGTTGTTTGTTCAGAAATGCTCTTTTGCATGCCTTGGTTGTAGTGAGTGGTTATTTGAGTTGCTGTTCCCTCCTGATCAGCTCAAAGCAGTCTGCCACATCAACGAGGCATTTTCAGCCAGAGAACTGCCACTCACTTTTTTTTCAACCCTAGAGATGATTGTGTGGGAGAATCCCAGTAGATGAGCAGTTTCTGAAATGCCAGCCAGTCTGGCACCAACAACCATATTTTATTCAAAGTCATTTAAATCAACTTTTTTCTCTGTTCTGATGCTCAGTTTGAAATTCTGCAAGTCTTGACCATGTGTGCATGCTTAAACGCATTGAGTCGCAGCCAATTATATGTTTGCGTTAATGAGCAGTTGAGGTTAATGACGCTTAATGAAGCGTGTGTGAGCACTGTTTTTACGAAGAAGGTTAATGCAATTGCACAAAACCTATCTAGGTGGTCAAAAGTTCTTATAATGAGATTTTACTGTGTTTGGTTGACTTTGTTGAAGCGTTAAGATCTTCATTTTGAGTGAAATATCAACAGCCTATTTCTTGTTCTTCATTTGATGTACATTTTCTCATATTTCCCTGGTATATTGTATTAGATATGTTTTTAAAGAGCAAAAGTAAAGTCAGTGAACTTGCATGGACTACAGTCATCTGCTGCTTTGTTTCCGTGAAAGGGAAGTCATGAAACTTTGCTGAACCTTAATTCCCTCAGATCAAAGAGGAAACACTTTAAATAATGTGGGCATGCAACTGTCATTACTCAAGTAAACCCATTTGAAAGTGTTTATTTTCCTAATTGATTAAAAGCATTTTTACTACATTGCACTAATACACGGTTACTTTACAAATACTCATTAAAATAATCAGGAAAATGAAAAACAAATCCCCCCTCGGATGTCATCTACACTTCTGAATGGCCTTTTGTCATTGACATTTGGAGTTAATGCAAACTTGCAATCTGAAACAAATAAAGCACATATGCTCCATTACTTGTTTATTTTATGGGAAACCACATGAACGCTCTCTGTTTCCAGTAACACAGTAAAGGATGTGTTGGGTAAATGAACTGCAGGCGATTCATTTGCTGCTTTAAACATTGCTCATCATCCATTTGTCGTGCAAACAATTTGTTTCCGAAATCCAAATCCACCACAATGCTGGCTCAGGCAGTTTGTCAATGTTAAATGTAAACACATGAATAAATGCTGGACCTGTTGAACGCCATGTTTTCCCTCACTGTCTGTTGGCCAGATATTGCTGAAATAAGAGGAGTCCGCATCAGTCAAGGGTGTTTCATGCAGCTGTGACTCGATGGTTTTAAATCAAATCAGTAGAAGAAGAAAAACTTGCTTAATCATCTCAGGAGAGCAGGTGCCATGAAAGATAAATCAGCAGATTAGATGTCACAGCGCTGGTTAAAGCTTAAGGTACATTTTGCATCATAATGCAAAATCTATCACCCCAACACGGTAACACCTAATTTAGCACAAGTCTTTCCACTGGTATATTCTACCCAGCATCTCTCCTCATTACTGCCATGTGTTTAACACACTAGCTGAGCTCAGCAGCTCGCCATCCCGGTCGCACTTCCTGCAGACTTTGGCCTGCTTGAGTCCTTGTTGGAACCTATTGGGGAGGTGATGGTGACGGGGTGGGCATTTTGCTCTTGCAGGAAGAAGAGGGGGTGGAAATCTGTAGGAAATTGCTGTTAAGTGGTTCTCGAGGCTTTGTGGTTTTGACTCACTGGGCCCGTGGTGAGTGGATGGTCCTGTTCTGCAGACCTTGCAGTGAGACCCGGAGGGGCTGTCTGGGGCCCTCGAACATTAACAGAGTAGTGTCTGAAGCTTTGATCACACAGATTTTGAGATGCTTTAATAGCAACAGTGTGTGATGTTCTTACATTATCTCTTAGTGGTCTTTTTGCTGAATGTAGCATGGGATTAAAACAGCAAGTGGTGCTGGTTTTGAGTTATAAACATTGAAACTTTATTGTGGTAGCTCAGAAACCAGTGGTGTAGCCGGATCAAGAGTGTTTTGTTGAGTTAAATACATGTAACATAGCAGGTTCACACAACTTGGCTCGACATATAACGTAAGCAGAATATGGACATAATGTCTTCAAGTGGCCAAATTTAAAAAAAAAAAAAAAAACACTTCAAGAAATCAAAACAAGTGAAGTTAAGCTCCAGACCTGCTGGATGTACTGAAGTGAAATAGACTGTGTCAATATTTATCTGACAGTTTCTTCTTTTTTAATTTAGGAACCTGATGCCTCGGACACTCGATGGGCAGATCACTATGGAGAAGACACCCAGCTACTTTGTCACCAAAGAAGCTCCAAGTCGCATCTGCACTATGAATTGTCAAACCAAGCTTATTGTCGTCGTCAGGGACCCGGTGACGAGGGCTGTGTCTGACTACACCCAGACGCTGTCCAAGAACCCAGGGCTTCCATCCTTCCAGAGCCTCGCTTTGAAAAACTCCTCCACAGGTTTGATTGATACCACGTGGAGTGCTGTGCGCATCGGCCTCTATGCCAAGCACCTGGAGAACTGGCTCCAGTACTTCCCTTTGTCTCAGTTTCTGTTTGTTAGCGGCGAACGACTGGTGTCTGATCCAGCTGGGGAGATGGGCCGAGTTCAGGACTTCCTGGGTTTGAAAAGGGTTGTTTCAGACAAGCACTTCTACTTCAACCAGACAAAAGGTTTTCCCTGCTTGAAGAAGCCAGAGGGGAGCAGCAGACCCCGCTGCCTCGGAAAGTCTAAAGGCAGACCTCATCCCCAGATCCCCTCTGAGGTACTGCAGAGACTCAGAGATTTCTACAGGCCCTTCAACCACCGTTTCTACCAGATGAGTGGACAGGACTTTGGCTGGGACTAAGCAAGAGTCTTCTTTGTGGAGAGATGCTCATTTACTGTTTCCACAGGGCTAATGTTCTCAGGGTACTGGGAGAGACAAAGTCCATTCTGCCTCAGTGGAGTCAACACGACATGCAGCACTCATGAACTGTCACTGTTTTGTTGTATTTTGAGGCTCAGACGGACATAGTGCTGCTAATATGAAAACGACAAATTTAGTTAATGGCTTAAATATATAACCGTTAAACTGTTTTTGACATTCTTTATGTACAGATTAGAAGAAAAGGTGATATTTATAGTTTCTGTTGAATACAACAGGGATTTTTTTATTATTATTATTAAAGAAGTGTATTTATTGCGTGACAAAGCCGGACATAATACCAACATCTGACAGGACATCGGAGTAATGTAATACTCTTTGCCTGCATTTACATATTTTCCAGTCTTTTGAATGCTACATACAGTTTGATGTTGCAGGACATTCCTCAGTGCATTGCAGTTGATATACCAATGATACCTCATTTGTAAATATTAAGTCGAAACCATGCGTAGACACATTCCATTTGTAAGTATTTTCCAATAAAAGCCGCATCATATTTTATATTGTAATTCCTGGATGGGATCAATTGTATCAGCTGTTACTCACAATAAATTGCTACTTTTGATCTGTGATTATTCTGAACCACTGTAACTGTAAAAAAAAAAGTGTTCAAATTACAGTGTATAAAAAATGTGCCTCTGATTCTCTGTGTTGTGAAGTAAACTTTTATCTGATGTGACAAACGAATTTGTTTTCATTTCATGTGTTAGCGTTAAGGTCAGATTTTGTATGGTTACATCAGGCTGCAAAATTGTCACCAGAGGTTGAAGACTGTACTGTACTGCCCATTCTCTATGTAATACAGTTTACACAGCTGGATCTTTTCATATCAAGAAAACAAAGTCCTGTGAAAACAAAGGAATGTGTAAGTACCATCCGTGAAAGTTTTTAGACTGTTTAAACGTTTTAAAAATATGGTTTCTTAGAGAAAAAATGTCTCTGTGGCTCAGTTTGCATCAGCTTAAGGGATAAGTGGACCATCTGGGGGTAAGCTGACCATTTAAATGAATGAGTAAACCAATCAAATTAAGTTTAAATTTCAATATCTTTTGATTGCATTTAAAGAATAGAATAGAATAGAATAGAATAGAATAGAATAGAATAGAATAGAATATATCTATTGTCACTACCATACATATATTGTACAGTGCAACAAAATCTGATTTTCAGCTGTACAGGTGTTCAAAGAAAGATTATATTAATTAATGTTAATGAAAAATGCAAGACACAAGAAAACCTCCCCCCTAAAAAAATAAAATAACAAGTAAAACAGAGACATTATTGAGCAAAATTAAATAAAAACATAAATTAAAATGATTAAATAAATTGAATACTGTTACCAAAACTATCGGAGATTGAAACAAAGTAATGCCACTCAAATGAATAAAAAGAAAAAAAAGTTACCACCAGAATTTAACTGCCCCAAAAGTGAGATGTGTAGCATCAATATATGTTTATAATCAGGTTCAAAGTATATTCTGGTTGTCATCAGCGATGGGTTCTCTAGCAGTTCAGATTTAATTTAACTTCAGTGGCTTTTGAAGGGCTGAGTGGCTCAACTTAGCCCACACATTTGACTCACTTTGACCCAAAGGTGCCATTTTGGAGAAAACTAGTTAGCTCATTAATTCAGGCTAATATTTAGCTAAATTATTTGCACACATCATAAATACAAAGACAGCAGGCATTACATCTGATATGCTTTTTTTTTTTTTTTTTACATTTCTTTGACAAGCCAAATATGATATATAGCACTAAGATGCCAAAGGCAGTTTTTAAAGTAAATTGGTGTTGTGCACTCGTCTCAGGTGCATCACAGTCTGGCAGAAATGAGTTTCAAAATTAACAGTCACATATCAATAAAAGTGCCTCTCTGACTTCTTGGGCTGTAATCTGTCAACCATCCATCTCATGAACGATGTCACAAGGCTAAAGATACGTTCAGTTTTTGGCAAAATCATTTTTGTATATGCTTTATTTATCCAGATAAAAGTGTTTTTGATATTAAAATGCCATTTTCAAGAGGGCAGCAGAAATGTCATCACAGTTGTGAGTACAAGCTTGTGTCCACCTGCAGCTGGGCTTGTGACTCCTCCCAGTCTTGAATATAGGATTTTCAGCAAATTAGGTGAAAGTGAATGTGTCTGAAACACGATTCAGTTCCCCCCTTTTTTATATCAGTAATTTATTTCAAATATAGGTTCTTTTGCCTCCGTTAATAACATGCTTCCCCATAGAAAAGAAAAGTTAACCAAAAGATAACTTCTTGCTGTCTGCCTACCACTTTTTCCCTATTGACTATAATTCTGATTGATAAAAGTTGTTTATTCAACTTTTGACAAAGTATTGTGCTGTTATCCTGGCACTAAGATGCTTTTATTCTTTCCTCCCTCTCTTTCTCTCTCACTTTGCCCTTGTTCACCCCTCCTCCCATCACTAAACTCACTCTCTCTGCCCTCTAGTTCCCAGTCTCTCGCGCTGCTTGTCCTTACCACTTCCATGCAGTGCGACCACATTACAGTCTGAGGTCTCCATGTGTTGTGGCCTTTAATTATGAAATATGTCAGATCACACAGAAAAAAACCCTCCTTTCACTCGGGGCTTACAATTAACAGCAGAGATCTTCTCTTTCATGGTGTATATTCCTGTGTGGAAGAAAATAAAAGGTTCCTGTGAAGCAACTAACAAAAGAGCTTGTGAAGTGAAATATACACATAGTGGCGTCATGCGTTTTTTAAAAACTAATTTACTGAAATATGTCTAACTGTTAAAATAACTGTTAAAACAGAATTTAAATTAAGAGTGAGCTTTGTTTGTGGAAACGTCAGTGGCTTGTGAATGAAATGGCCGGCTGCTTGCATGAGCATGCTGATGTGTGTATATGTGCAAGTTTAACATCACAGCACGCACACTCCTTACGTCTTCTCTCCTTTAGCTCCAGTCAGTATTTCTCTCACATTCCCCTTCTGTTTTATTTGTCTGGCATTAACGTTTAGTGGGTCTCACTAAAATTTTTAACATACTTGGCTCATTTCATTTGTGCCAACTTTTATTACTCTGTATTACCAGGCACGCTGATAGGGCACTGCCATTTTGCCGTGCCAGCCCAGCAGCAGGCATTAAAAGATAACTGATATCCCATTCTGCCATCTGGGAAAGATGTTTGTATCAGTCTTCACAGGACTAGCCCAGTCATTAAGGGTGATTAAATCAGCAAGACATTCTGCATAATCTACAGCTGTCACTAAACATTGGTAATGATGTGAGAAATCTAATTGAGGTGAATGAAGAATTGGCAAGTGATTGAGAGCCAGGAACAAAATGATCTACTGCGCATTTATAAAAGTAGAACTTCATCCAACTTTTTAATAGAAGCAAATAAGTCTTAAAGTGTTGTCTCTGAATATGACCTCACGAGAAGCCGCCCTCTCCTTGCGGCTGCCGCAGCAGTCTGTCGACATCACCAGCATTTTGTCATATTTTATGACCGCCATCAATCCAGCAATTCACAAAAGTCTTGGTTTCATTTAAAGTGTCAGACTTCACCAGACATTTAAATAACAATCAAAATGTATATGGATGCAGGGCTTGCAAAATCGCTAGCCCGACGTCCCGGGGCTAGCGATTTTTCCAGTCAGGCTACCAAAATCTATCTCTGCCCTGCCCGTCGGGCTATTGTAGGAAGAAAATATATGTCAATGCTTTTGCATTCTTTAGGAAATGTAGCTGGGTAATTATGTCATTGGCATCAAATGTCCAGGTCACGACCGGAGGGGGAAAAGTCACTCGGGTCAGAACATGGGGTGCCACCATCATCCCACTTCTGACACCAATGTGGCGAGCTCAGACAACGAGGAGACGGAGTTGTCGTTTGGTCTTGCTTCCCGTGAGCTAGCCAGGGAGCACAGCCGTTTATTGACATCTGCAGAAGAACACTGCCGCTAGCTAACTGCTCAGCGCAGCAACCGCACAGCAACAACAACAACAACACACAGGGCGCCCTCTGACCCCGGAAGGACACACCGTCGCAGCGAGAGGGCGTCACCCGTCACTATGGCAACATAAACAAAACGTAACTGTACAAACAGAACCCTGAACAGCCCTGACCCGCTACAATATGCTGCTGAGAATATAGCCCAGAAGAAGCGGATAGTATAGCTTTTATTTTGGAAAGAGCCATTTCTCTGTCATAAACTCTCTTTTCCAAAGATGAATGATTCCTCAATCAGATACAGGGCTTGCAAAATCGCTAGCCCCGGGACGTCGGGCTACCAAAATCTATCTCTGCCCTGCCCGTTGGGCTATTGTAGGAAGGAAAAATATATGTCAATGCTTTTGCATTCTTTCAGAAATGTAGCTGGGTAATTATTGGCATCGGTGAGCCACTGTCAATATGTGACATATTGAAATCGCGTTTGAATTTGCGCTTGTTTTTTGCTTTCACTTTGCAATCGCGCGAACTGTGTATAGAGAGCGACAGCACTGATTGGTGAGTGACGATAATTTGTGCACCAATTGCTCTGACATCATCTTATCAATCATTAGCTTACTATGCAAACATGACAAGTGAAATCTCCCACAGCAAGCTTAAACATGTGAGAGGTTGATCGCGCAGAGAATCGCTGAGCGTTATGTGTGTGTGTGTGTGTGTGTGTGTGTGTGTGTGTGTGTGTGTGTGTGTGTGTGTGTGTGTGTGTGTGTGTGTGTGTGTGTGTGTGTGTAAAAGCAGCAGGATTTATATTTCAGTTCTGCTGAGCCAAATAAGACAGGTCAGGGTGAAGAAGTGACAGCCAAAGAAAAGCTTACCACAAAACGGAAAAGTTATGACAAATCAGACTATAAGGCAAAAAGAAAGTGCAGCTTTATGGTTTCATGGACAAAAGAATTTCTGTGGATGCAATATGACGAGCTATATAACCAGGGCTGCACATAAGTGGTCCGCAGGTGCGCATTCGCTGTGAAGAAGAAAAAAAAAAACCGCGCACAAGATAAGAAGTTGCAACACGTGTTTGCATACATAAGATTTTCTGGAGGAGGACAGACATTTGTTTAGAACTCTTAAAGATGTCGAAGAAGCTCCTTTAAGCAATTACTTTGGTGTTCCTCCACCTCCAAAGAAATGTCACAAAAGAAGCGCGTATTCTCGGAAAAGTGGTTGCAGGTGGTGAGCTGGCTTCAA